CATTCGCAATTTACCTCATACATGTTGGATTATTTTCATTAGTAACAACATTCCGAAAAATAACTGAGGAACTCCGCTTTTAGGCTGGCTGTTGAAATTCTGGCGGTGCTCGTATCTTAAATTTGAAAGCCGCGATTTAATTATTTTGTATTTTAATTCTCGTGCGAAAAGGACTATGGGAACGAGAATGATTCTGGCCCCGCGCTCGCCCCGCGAAAAATGGACGAAGCGAGAGCAAACATATCGACGACGCAGGGAATGGGGCTGGGATGGAGATTTTTGCTCTCGTTCCGGTTTGCGCGTGGCCAGAATACGGAAGAACGGCGAAGCGCTGCTGCACGCGCTGCACTCATAGCTGGTAAGGCACCCCGGCGGTTGGGGGAGGGGAGGTACTCCCAGAAAAATCGGGTGGGGTTGTGCGGACCACTTCCCAAAACCCTTACCCTATTTATGACCAAAATCTGCCGTATTCCCTACCCTATTTATGACCCGACAAAGATTCGAAACCCTATTCATGATATAACCCTTAAATCAAAGCCCTAAATCAGACCTGCGTTATAATTAGTTCCCTAGTTCAGAGCAATATTAAATTACCGTGTAAACATAATTTGTGAAGGGCTTTTGTTGATTTTCTTTTGGATAATGATGAAAAAGTGGCTTCTTCTTAAAAACATACCCATATCAAGGCTAGAGTGCACAAACCACACCCTATTTATGACCAAAACAGCTGAAAAACCATTCCCTTTTGGGCCGCACATACCTATATAGCCCATAGAAGGGAGTACCCCCGGGGTCGGGCGCTCGGCATAGCTCCTTCGGGTGTCTAAGTATTTTCACGCCGAAGTTAATAAAGGTTTGTTAGACATTATGGTTGAAAACACACCTGATTCTCCTGGCTTAGCGAGTCATCGAAACCTAATAGGGGAATCTTTGGTTAACAATATTTACAACATTCCTTGACACCATTTTACTAAAACCTCGTTGGCAGAGGAGAACGCCTACACCAAGGAGAATTGAAATCGAGGCTGGAAAACTGGAAAACAATCTTATCCTGTGAAAAGACCGGACTAATTCAGGCAAATATGCTTGAAATCCATTGAAGTCCATTGAAATCCATTCAAGCATATTTTCATGGCTCCTGCTTTTGATTTGCTTCAGTTGTTGTTTTCCTTTTGATTGTGTACGTCCTATACCGTTCCTCCGGTCTTTTCCCGTTCGATATTTCTAGTGGTTACATTCCAACGAAATTATTGTTATTTAGTCTTGTGAAAAGTTGTTTTGTCTTAAAATCAGTATGTTATTGTTAAGTGCTCCTGTATTGTTGGCAGTAGTTATCCACCCAGGTCTCTGCTTCCCGGATACACTGATTCTAGCATGCGTCGGTGGAGACTGGAAGGGAGCGCGTAAGAAAAAAGGGGCTAAGACTTTGTCTCATCCACTCTTGTTGCTAAACGGGGGAGAAAGAAGACTGCCACTTCTGAGTTGCTGTTTCTTAGTGTTCTTTAGTTTCTTTGTCAGGCACTTGTAATAATCCGTTTGATGAACCTGAAAATCAGTTTACACCCGAATAATGAGAGTAAATCATTTCGCTATATTTTTGAATTGGAACTCTAAATAACCGCTATAGCGAAGATATTTGTTTACAAACATTGTCTTTTTTATTTAAATGTGCAAAACGTTAAACAAAAGAACTCTTTGAAAGAATGAAAGACGCGAAAGAACTCTTTGTTAAACCACCCAACAGTTCTCTGGTTGGCATATTAATAATAATAGGTGACGTCACTGATATCTTTGCTAAAACCAAATTAAATTAATACACTACCAAAAATCGCCACTTCCTTCCTAATAGTAAATCAGAAGCCACGGAATTTTTCCTTGAATGGTCCACTAACAACCGTGTGTTGCATATTCGTATCACTGGCCAAAAAAAGAAAAACACCGATAGAAACACCGTGGAGTTCAAATACTGAAGTTAGTTTAGATCATAACCAACTTGGTGGTAGGCTTCTCGACTCATTGACCATTTAGCATTTTGTTCATAACGAACTCATGGATCAGTCTTGCGAAACGTTGCTGTGTTGTTTTGTCTCAACATGTGTCATTGTCACGGGCTGCATTGTTATTCGGTAGCTTGTCACGCAAGCCTTTGTTTCCTGATGCCTCTGGTACAAAATGGCTGTCACTGATCTTTCGGAGCCTCTCATCTCCTCTTGCGCCTAAATATAAAGAACCAAGGCTGCCATAGAGACACAATCTCTTCCGTGTTGCTGTTTTCTTCGAGTGAATGTCAGCGAA